GCTCCAGCAGGTGAGGAGCTGGGATATTCACAGCCTGGAATATTGACAGCCCAAGCAGCAGCTGGAGGAGCCAGGAAAACCAAACATCCCCCAGATATCCCCTAAACCACCCCAAATATCCCCCAAAACGACTAGGGAATCCCAAAGGAATCTGGGATCAGCACAGAGGGATCCATCCCAAAGCTGTGATCCCAAAAAGTCCCTGCAGACATCCCGAGCTCCAGGAGCTGCTGGAGCCATCCCGGGGATTTTTAATGGTTAAAAAAAGGCTCAGAATGGGCAAAAAGGGCTGGAAAAGGAGCTGGGAACATCAAAACACAGAAAGATCCTTGGGTTGGGAGAGATGGGAATGTTCCTTGGAGAGGGGAAGGATCCAGGAGAGCTGGGAATGGTCCCTGGGGAGGAGAAATTCCAGGGAGAGCTGGGAATGTTCCCTGGAGAAGAGAAGGATCCAGGGTATCCCTAAAATCCCTAAAGGGGCTCCAGGAGAGCTGGGAATGTTCCTTGGAGAAAGGAAGATTCAGGAGATCTGGGAATGTTCCCTGGAGAAGAGAAGGATCCAGGGAATCCCTAAAATCCCTAAAGGGGCTCCAGGAGAGCTGGGAATGTTCCCTGGAGAAAGGAAGGATTCAGGAGATCTGGGAATGTTCCCTGGAGAAGAGAAGGATCCAGGGAATCCCTAAAATCCCTAAAGGGGCTCCAGGAGAGCTGGGAATGTTCCTTGGAGAGATGAAGGATTCATGAGATCTGGGAATGTTCCTTGGAGAGAGGAAGGATTCAGGAGATCTGGGAATGTTCCCTGGAGAAGAGAAGGATCCAGGGAATCCCTAAAATCCCTCAAGGGGCTCCAGGAGAGCAGGAGAGGAACTGGGCACAAGGAATGCAGGGACAGGACCCCGGGAATGGCCTCAGGGGGGGAAAATGCAGATTTAGATGGATTCTGGGGAGGAATTCCTGCCTGGGCTGGAATTCCCAGGGCAGCCGTGGATCCCGGGGCTGTTGGAACCTGGAGCAGCCCGGGATGGTGGAAGTTCTCCCTGCCCACGGGATGAGCTTTCCACTCCTGAATTCCCACTCGACTGACAGAATTCCACGAGCTGCAGACCCCCCCACATCCCTGATCCCTGCCTGGAATTACAAACTGGAATAAAGACACCCGAGAGCTCTTCCTGCCCCCCCAAAAAATGCAACAGAGGGGCAGAGAGGGAGGGAAGAGGGAGGAAAATCCCTCTCCATCACTCACAGGCTGACAAGTAAATGAAATATCAATCATGTAAGCTGCCAACCTTTTGGGACAGCAATAACTGTTAACAAGTAGTCGGGAAAAATGCTCGGAAAATGATTTGTCCTCCGCACGCTGGCGTTGGGGTTTCCGTGGAAAATTAAGATGCCGGTGGCTATTTGGAACATTGTTCAGGTATTCCTTTTAATGGGAAATTTGCCACTTATTGATCCAGAGCGTGTAGCCCTTGCTTTCAGAGAGCTGCAAGCAACTTTCCAATCAGTGGCTGTCAAAAAAATTACTGCCTTTTTATACAGATACGAGGCAGCAGCGCCTTAATTAACTGCGCGGCCCAGCACTGAAAAAATCCTATTTACCAGCCCCCAAAATCGGCCTAATTCAGAGGTTTTTTTTGCGTGATCCGTGAGAATTATGAAACAAGTTCTTGTCAAATTCATGAAGTAAAGAACCTAAAGGGAAGGTTCAAAATTATCTCAAATATCACAATGATTGCAAATGCCAAAATGATTGCAAATGTCAAAATGATCCCAAATACCAAAATGATCCCAAAAGCCAAAAT